TTGCAAATTAAATAAAGTGTTTGTAAACTGATAACAAGTCGGTTAATCAAGCATTTTGTTGCAACCATAAATACACAAAACTGCTGTAATGCTATTCATGAAAACCAGAAGTATATATAAAACTTAATTCACTATGCAAGCCGCTTCTTAAGTTGCTAGCCATTATTTACTAAACCACACACCCAATCGTTTCTTGGAAGGACTATGATCATATTTTATGAATAATGGTGTGGTTACTGCAAACACACGGAGCTAATTTTCGGGCAATTTGGTCTGGAACTACATAGCCTGAATATACGAGAACGAAAACTTTTTTGTACACGATTTTCGTATTTACCTCGTGAAATGAAAATTCGTTCCTATCCAACAACAATGTTTATTAAAGGCAGTGCAAATGATGTTTTTAATAGTGATCGCATCAAAAATAGTTGCTTGACTTTTTTTCTGTTTTCATCCTTCACCGACTTTAAAGGGCCATTCACATACAACTTTCTTCGCTTTGCTTGACAGTTCAAACTTTGACAACAAAGCGTGAAACGCAGAAGGTATGCTACAATAAACGCTTTGACAGCTTTTGCGTTCTCCTCTTCCTCCATATTTTTTATCTGTAAAATAGATAGCAATATAATTGTACGCGATTATGTGGCACCGACCAGCTTTATCGTCTGCACTCTGCACAAACCTTTAGTGTCATTCGCGGCTGCACTCTGAACTAGCCTTAAGTGTCATTCGATTATTTATGTTTTGCATACATACATACATACTTCCATCTTTATATATAATAGGTTCATTCCTTATCTTTTTGGACTAAAATATGAAAAGTGTCAAAATGCCAGAGCGTAAGCAAAATGCGCTCACTAAAAGAGAATAACATGAAAAGTAAAGGGACGCAAAAAACCAAATTTTTAGTCCAAAGAATGGCAACAACAAAACTAACGTCAAATAAGAACAGAAATGTATGTACAAAACACATTCACACAAGCACAAGCACAATAAATACTTGCTATATCAATTATTTTTTGCCTTCTTCCAATTTCAATTCATTTCTTTTACTTTTTAGATTATTCTCACTTTTAGCGTATTCTTTAATTTCCGTTAATTTAAATTCAGTTGAGTTTGACACTTTTCAGGATTTTGCCAGAAAAAATTCTTCTGACTAAATCTGACTCTTACGACTGATGAGAGTCACTCTCACTGACTGTTGCTCTCTCATTTTTGCTGTCATTTCCGAGTTAAGGAACGCTTTTTGGACTAAATCTGACTACTTCGGACTTTTTCTGACTATTTCTGGGAGATAAGGAACGCTCCTAATATTCTTGAACCTGTAAACATCATAAAATCTAACGTTACCAAGTCACGCTATTGTACCGTTTGTAGCCTTCTATAAAAGACGAATTTGCAAATAAATAAGTGCCATTATATTCCCGCTGGTCGGTGTGTACAAACATAATCGGTTTTCAGTTGCTTTTATCGTACAATAATAATATGCATTAATAATAGCAATAAAAATTCCTATTTACCCTATTTTTGTCATTAAATGCATATGCAAGCGCACGAGAAATGATACATGTAGACAGCTGATTGCCAAAGCGGGCAAAAGTTGAGAGTTGCCCAAGATTTTGCTTCGTTTTGCTTTGCTTTGCTTCAAACGTTTTTTATGTGAGCATACTCATGCATATGCCTACATCGATCTTATATGTCAAAGCAAAGAACTATCAAGCAAGGCGAAGAAAGTTGTATGTGAATCAGCCTTAATGGCTCCTCCACACGCGTTTAGTTTCTGGACAAAATGGTTCCACTGCTCCATCAAACCTTTGCACCCGGTGCCATTCACGTATTTAAAAAAAAAAGAACCTCAAAGATTTCATTTACGATAAAATTGTTTCCATACCTGTCATGAGCAAATTCCCCGTGCTATTCCAAATATTGAACAAGCATATATTTTTGCTCATTTGTCACCCTTCTACTGTTGCAGTTTTCCATTTTTAATATGATTTACAACAATTTTTATTTAATCGAGTATTTTAAATAAACAACAATCTAAATATTAACTTTTTTATTTACTTTTTAGCACCGAATATTTGTCGTCGTCAAATTTGCAGGCTTTTAAGCGAAAACTAAGCATTTTTAGCGATGGAAAAAACGCTGGAATCGCCATCAGCTGTTTGAGCCGTCAAAAACAGTTCACTCACTTTATTTTTGCCTGTCGCTATTCAAGTGGATGCAAGCCTATGTATTTAAGTATAAATAATTCAGACGCATAAACTAATAAGTTTATTTTGTTATTATAAGATGTTCTTTTTGATGCACTCAAATTCCAAAAAATTTATATAATCTCTTTAATTTACAAAGTAATTTATAAATTTATTAGGTTCATTCCTTATCCTTTTGGACTAAAATCTGAAAAGTGTCAAAATGCCAGAGCGTAAGCAAATGTGCTCACTAAAAGAGAATAACAGGAAAAGTAAAGGAACGCAGAAAACCAAATATTTAGTCCAAAGAATGGCAACTAACGTCAAATAAGAATGGAAATATATGTACAAAACACATTCACACACAAGTACAAGCACAATAAACACTTACTATATTTGGGGTGTTCACAGTTCGTTCCAAATAGTGTCTCAAAATGTAGACGTCTACATTTTAAGACGTTTTCTAACCGTAAAATCTGTGGTGTTGTTGTTTCCCATACAAAATTGGAAAACGACGTCGTCTACAATTTGTCACACTCAAAGGTATGTTTTTTACGCGTCTACATTTTGCAACCTCGCAGCAGAGTTGCATTATGGCAACACTAATCGCATTTTTTTTATTTATTGGGCACGTTTTCTGTATTTGCATTTAATTTGAGCGCAATTTCTGATGAAAAGAAACAAATCAATGCAAAGAAATAACAAATATTAGGAATTGGTAATTAAGTTAAATAATTAC